GAAAATCAGCTGTCTCCTTTAAAAGGAAGTGAAGTAGAACTATATATTTGTTGAGCTTTACAAATGTACCCTGAGCTTTTTAAAGGTGTCTTCAGTGTAATAAAGCATAATAATAAGCACGATAAGCAAACTTTAAACTGATTGCTCAATTAGATAAATTTGCTAGACAAATTAGAAAGTTTTGGCTAAACATTTAGTCTTTTTTTTTTTTTTTCCCACATACAAAAGAAGATGGAAATATATCATGCACCAAATCCTTTTTAGAGTTTGTGATTGTTTACAGACTTGCCATTAATCTGTTTTCACTCCTTTCCAGGTGAGTGGAAAGGAACTAATTTTTGTCTAAAAGGTTTGAGAGCCAGTAGACAAGTAAGCACAGTTTCCATCTGGCATTGCCAGTTGCTAACTTCAACCCTAGCAATCAGCTGGAGGGAAATGGGTTGTCTAAGGAGGGAAACAAGGAACTGGGGCTGAACAAACAGATCCTAAGAACTTTGAGGAGGTCACAGACTTTCATGGTTACCATCTATGGGTTTCACTTCATCTGCCTCTGCCCATGTTCCTCTACTCCATAGCTAGTCAACTCATTTCTTACAAGAGTAGTTGACTGTACTAATTATGTAGCTATTAGTTCCCAGCTTATGACTCTGCAACTTCTTTTTGTACACCCACGGTCAGTTTGCTTGATGGACATTTTGCAATTCTCTAGTTGAATTGGCATATAAAAGTTTTATTTAAAATTTTGCCCTTAATATATCTTTATAAAGACAAATAACTTTAATTTTTAGTGATTTTAAAGTAATTTTGAGTATTTTTGATGAAAATTCTCTAGCTGGAATATAGTAAATGCTAAACCTTGTGAAAATAAGACACAGGAGGCATATTGAACTTTCCTCACGTGGCTTTGGCCTCTGTTCTGAAGTGAAAGAGACTCTAAATGAAACTCCAATGAAAAAATAACTGTTTCTGTGGCAAAATAACTCATACTTCACCTATTTCTGAGGGAGAAAGAAAGAATATATAATCAAACTTCCAGTTGAAGCTTGCTGAAAAGTTGTTAATATAACTTAACAGACTGCAAAGGTAATTAAGCTCAACCTCTCAGACTCTTTTGGTCAACAGACCCTTTTGGTAGTATGTTCTCTAATGACCTTTTTGCAACCATATAGTGAAGGACACATTCCCTTAAGATATTACTTACTTGAGCCCATCTCTTTGCTTTGTGTTTGTCTTGACAACGGTGAACAATTTTCAGGACCAGCCACTTTCAGTGGCTACCCCGGGGTTTGCTGTCTGAACTCAGCGCGGCTGGGGTGGCTGGCAGAGAGCCTCGAGAATGAGATCCCTGCTCTTCTCCCAGGGCCCTTCCTTTGGGATGCTGGTCCTTCACAGGCCCTGCTGTCTCTGCTGTTTTTCTGAACCTTGGGTTTGGCTCTCAGGTGTAATGCCTAGCTGAAAGTCAGCATGGGTTTTTGTCCCGGGAGTGGCTTAGGTGCTGTGAAATGCAGCAATGGAAAGATGAATATGGGACCTGAGGACTTGCAGATTTTCTTGACCTAATTTTGAAATAAACAGTAGTTTTTCATTTGATCCTGGGACTTATTTTGTATTTTGCTCAAAAGTTAAATATTAATATGAAGGTGGTGGTGTTTTACTTGTAGAAAATGGAGACAAAAGTAAATATTGAACTATTACTCATTTATATTTTTTTTGTGTGGCGAATGAGAGAGTAGACCTGTGGAAGTAATAGTGAGCAATAATGTAGTTAGAGACCTGGATTATAATACACACTCTAAAAAGAGAAGTAGGACATTTCAAAGGCAGTATTCATTTTGGCAGTAACTAAATTCGAAGTGTTTGGCTTTACTTTTAGTTGCATTTTGTGAGTAACTGGATAGAGGTTGGTGAGCATATTTATATGCCTGCGTTTTTTTGAGCTTAAAGCTAGGGAGGATCTGATTTTTTTCATCCTGGAAGTGAAATATAGCTGTTCTTTAAACTCCTCTGATATTCACTGTAAATTCAGGAATGCTTTGCCAGTTTAATGCAATGCTCCTCATCTTTTTATCTATTTAAATAACTACTTATCCCTTCATCGGTGACCATCCAAGCCAGTTATCTCTCAGAAGCATACTCCCCTAAGTGTTAATTGAATTGAACTAAAAATATTATTTTTTAATTTTCCTTTAAGCCTTTTCCTGACTTTGTTTAATCTGAAACTAGAACTAGAGACTCATAAATCTACTAATTTTTGTACTGTCAGAAGCCACAGGGAAAAACAGCCATCAATCAGGACATTCATAACAAATAGAAATAAAAAACTAATTATTTGCTGGAATTCAGCACTCAGTCTTGAATCTGAGCACCTTGGGTTTATGTACATATCTACACACATTATATATATATGTATATATTAAAAAAAAAGTATGAGTGTATGAGAGAATGTCCGTTAATGGAACAACTTTAAAAAGTAAAAAATTCTTCTGGGAGTGGAAAAAAACAAACACCTAAGGTATCAAGTAATTAATCAAGAGTGCCAGTACTAGAGCATGTAGTGAACACAGAAGATCAATTTGGTAATAATTATAAATAAAATTTCTTTTAATCCATAAAGCACAAATGTTGTACCCTTACCAAAGTAATTTATTTTGTTCAAGTTGACCAATTACTATATTACTTCTCTTAGTATGTGAAATTATTTATTCCAGAACTAAAATAAGAATGGAATTTCTGTGATAAATTTGTCCCAAAATTGTGTGTAAGAATCCTTTTGGGTTTTTTAAAAAGTAAGAAGCATCTTAAATGTCAGGCCATATAATAATTTATTTCTATGTTAATTCTACTGCAATCAATAGAAAACTGGATCAAAATACCATAATAAGAGTAATTTCCCTTGGAGTAATTGCAGTCTATAAAATTTCTTAAAGTAAACAAAAATCATGTTCTAGAAAATTTAGAAAATGTTATTACTATCCTGACGGTCATATCTCATTCCACCTACAAGACATTTGACAGTAGTTAAAATCCTTGGTGCCATGCCAAAAAGTACCCTGAATGTTATTCCCTCATTGCTCATATTACTGCAAGTACCAACTGAACATAAGTACTGTTAATATTAAAGTCATTTACTACTTAATTTGAGGTTAGTTGAGAGATAGTTTCAAAAGTGAGGCCACGTGGTGCTGATGGAGAGATAGTATAGAAAAAAAAGAGGATATATTCCTCCATTTTGTAAAATCCTAACCCAGTGATAGGAAGCAAACACCACAGATGGTGGTTACTTCTTTACTTAACTGTCCTACTCTTTTCTTCCCCCAAAGTCCACCTGTTTAATTCAAAAAGTTTTCCTGAGGATCTGGAAGGAAAAAAAAATATCTCTGGTTAGAAATCGGAGATGGAAAATATCCAACATCTTTGCAGTTCAAAAAGCTAGCAGTAGATAAAAGCATAAAGGAAGAAATGAAAATTGCTGTAGGTTAGGGAAACTACAAATACATATGATAACCTTTCCACCTAAAAGAAATAGCTACATTTATTTTTTCATGGATACTTTGAGGAGTATGAAGAGCGATATCTACCCTTGGATAATAAGGTCTGAGTCTGCATGCTGAAATTACTGGTTCTTAAATCTTTGTGATTTTAATACATTTGCATATGCTATTTTCAGTCTCCTAAAGCTTTGGGGACTGTTATGCTTTGAGCATTCATTTAAGTATACAACTGTAAATTCATGTCAATGCTGTCCATACCACTTATTTCTCAGAAATTTGTGTGTGACTAGTGTATTCTATAATTCACAACAATAATTGTCTTAAAAGCTTTAATTAAAGCTCATGAACTATAAAACTGAGGACTGGAGGTATTCAGCATAATTTTTGATAGCACTTCAAATACCTCTTCAGTTACTAAATTTGTTCAGAGCAGAAAGGAGACAGGAAAAAATTGAACTGATGTAGGTACTTAGCTGTAAGGTGAAAAATCTAGTGAAATTGCTCAACAAGGACTAGTTAAGATAATACATATGAAGTGTCAGGTGGTTAACTTTATTGTGCACTTAAAAAAGATCTGCTTGTTTCAAGTCAAGAAAAGATAACAGGCTAAACATGAATGACTTAGTTACAAATAGCTCCAGCAAACTCCATCTGTTTTAAAAAGTCTCAGTCTACTATTTTCTCAACTGAATAATTGAATCTTCTGTTTTTTACGTGTTATGGTTTGAGCTCAGAGGGCAACTGAGCACCATGCAGCCACTTCCTTCTTTCCCCCGCAGTGCTGAGAAGGAGAAAATAAGCCAGAGACAAACTACAACAGTGGGGGCCGCTTCTTCTCACTGGCTCCCAGATGCCTTTGGGCGCAGCCACCTTTATTTTTCATGTGGAACCCCCCACAGGCCATATATCAGTGTCTTCTTCGCCGTGGACCTTCATGGGTGGCAGGGGGGCGCCGCCCTGCCATCTTACCACGGAATACAGGGGGGTCTCTGCTCTGGCACACCTCCCCCCTCCCTTTTTCCTCCATTCTTCCACTGACCTTGGTGTTCACACAGCTGCTGCAACTCCTCCTCCCAGGTCCCTTCTTTATCACAGAGGCTCAGCTGATTGGCGTGGCCTTGGTGCAGAGGTGGGTCTGACTTGGAGCCAGGGGAGCTTCAAGAGGAGGACAACTCTGTATTCCCTTCCCCTGATACCAAAACTCCCACCACTCACTCAAAACCAGGGCACCAAGGAAGCCAAAAATAGTGCGTTTGATATCTGCTTTTTTAAAGCCATATGGATGCACCTAATGTCTATGAATTAATCCTGTTTTCAGACAAAATAATTTCCCTGCCGAATAGTTAGTAATATGCAGAGTTGTTATATTTCTGAAATATTTATCTTTGTTACTTCAGTGTTTTGGTTTTAATATTTATTTTGAAGTTACTCTTTGCAGCTTTGCAGTAATGTGTCTCTCTCTGTCTCTTTTTTTTTTTTTTTTTTTTTTTTTTTTTGGTCCTTATGCAGGGGATTACTACTTCAGGAAAACAGCAGATTTTCAGAGGCATTGCATTACTATAAACTGGCAATTGGTAGCAGACCCACGCTAGCTTGTAAGTATTTCAACTATGCAAGCTTGCATAATGTTGACTATAGTTTATTAAGGAAATCTTACTCTTTAATAACACTTTATTTTTTTTCAGAAGTTTTTCATTTGGAAAACTAAAGGTGAAATTGTGTACTTTTCAGTTGAAAGAAAGTGTTATTAGTTAACAACTGCATTTAATGTGGCACAGGGAAGAAGCAGATAAAGATATAACACTGGAAAGCACTGGTAGAACATAAAATGCTTCTGATCTGGAATGGTGAGCCATAGATGCCACTTCCCAAATTTTCAGGTTCCTGTTTTCCTTTTCTTACAGCCAGACCCTGATTTTTATGGTACGTGGTGTGAGTGAATAATACGAATATTTTTGATGTCCTTTCATTTTTCCTTTCTTGCCTTAGGCAAATAGGAATTGAGGATGTTGCCAGTAATGGGTTGTGATTTTAAGTGGGTGCATATTAAGATTGCTGACTTTTTTGTAGCTTAAGTATTGAATCTTCTACATATGTATATATACACATACATTTATATATTTATAAACATATGTATATATTTTTGTAACATTTCAAACAATGAAGCTATATGCTTGATACAGTCCTAATAAAAGGAATGAACTGGGGCACCCTGCCTAACCAGTGTTCCCTCCTTCCTCAGTCTTCGTAGCCACTTTTTCCTTTCCTTGTCTCTGAACTTTTACCTCTTATATGTTCCTCTTTACATCAGTGATTGATCTATATTATATAAAGCCAAGTTAGATAACCATGGGATCTGTTTCAGGCATTACTTTGAAGCAAAACAAATATTAGATATAACAGTGGAATCCCATTAAAATATAATATTTTTTCCATCTTCACAGCTGCCTATTTAAATACTGGTATCATCCTGATGAACCAAGGGAAGACAGAAGAAGCCAGGAGGACTTTCCTGAAGTGTTCAGAGATCCCTGATGAAAATTTGAAAGATCCTCATGCTCATAAAAGCTCTGTTACTAGCTGTCTTTATAACTTAGGAAAACTTTTTCATGAACAAGGACACTATGAGGTAAGACTCCAGATTTGTCTACAATATCGTGATAAAGTCTCGATACATAAATAAGATCTATTGCTTCCATCCAGACTTTCAAAATACACGACAGGCACAAATTGATTGAATTTTACCAAATCGAGATTAGCCTTCTCTACAGAGAATATTTATTCTCTGCAGCCACAGGTGTGATGATATTTAGCAGTGTGATGTTCTGGTGGCAGAGTCAACATTAGCAGTGGTCACCTCTGATATGTGTTAAATCATTCTTTTTGGCTTTGTCCCCATGACTGGTATGCAAAGGACATAGCCTGATTACAGACCAGCCAACAGCGTACTGGCTTTTTAATTCAACAGACTAAGTCCATCTTTAGTTGAAAAAATGCAATTATGTTTGCTTTTGAGTCTCCAAAAAGAAAACCTAGTTGGAACAATTCAAAACTTCAGTGATTAAAAACATCCTATTATGTGTTATTTTCAGATAACTTGATCTAAGTGCTAAAGTAGGTTAGATATTTTTAATGTAACCGTATGCTGCACTGATCCCCTCTCATTTATGTGTGACTGTTGTGAATCCTCTCTATAGTTCCAGATGAAATTACTAAAACTGGACATTCATTTAAGTTTTGACCTTTAACAGTATTTGAAAGAAAGTCATTCTCTCTTTGCATTGCTGGGCATACTTCAGAACAGGAGTTATGTATGGTTTTGATCCATACAATTCTTCCTGACTACAACAGTTAACTCAGCTGCTTAAGATTAGGCATGCACAAGCTCTATGGATTCTCTGTCATCTGTCTGCTGAATCTAGCTCTGTCAGATGGCAGTTACTAATTGCTTAAAACCATGACACAGACAGCTAATATATCTGTAAAGATACAAGAACAGCAGCATGACGGCTGCATGGCCAATAGAGTGTAGAGTTGGAGTGCCATGCCTGGGAGGTGCAAGGGATTTTAAGAATGTAAACCATCAGATTTCTGCCTGGTGGTCATTGCAGTCTGACCCAGCCTTGATTTGATCATACACTTAGAGGTTTTTTTCAAGCATATTTCAGCCTTCACAAGATGTGACTATTTGATGGGATGATGTAGAAAATGATGCAGAGCTAACAGACCAGTAAGCATCTTAAGTGCTGAATGAATCATAAAAGTGTGATCAAGTAATTCAAGGCACAGCACATTTGTGGAGGGAATCTAATTTTGGCATTCCTGACACTATAGTCTGTCTCATTCTTTCTGTGGAGCAGGCATCAGTTTGAGGATTATGGTTTTTTGTTACTTGGCAGTAGACAATTATTTCTTTATATTTAGGTCACTTACTGTAGCTTAGTCATTAGTAAGTCCCTTGTGTGCAGTTTGATATTACTCCATATTCTCTGACAGGCTATAGAAGTTTATATATGTTTATAAACTCATGAGTCATTGAAGTGTTTAAACAAGTGTTTCTTTTATTTCCACCTGGAAAAAGAGTTGCAATATTTGAACTACTTTGATCTCTTGTCAGTAAGCTTCACTGAATTTGGTAAAACTTTTGTAAATGAGAAATGTGAACTTTTTGTGATATTTATGACAGTGATGTGTTTTCTTTCTCTCTGCACCTTTCATTTGTGAAAGGTAGTTTGGTCTTAATTTATACGTGGAAGACTGCTTTTGAAATTGGTGCTTTACTAATGATTTGTCCCTTTTGTGTATTTCTTTTCAGGATGCCCTTGTGGTTTACAAAGAGGCAATACAGAAAATGCCAAGGCAGTTTGCACCACAGAGCTTATACAACATGATGGGTAAGTGTATTGTTAGTGCTTCAGAAAGATACTTGAGGAGTCTGGCAGGGTGAAACAAAAGAGCTTAGCCAGGCACCTGGTGCTCAAATGAATTAGCTAATAAAAACAAAAATAATTGCTTTCAGTAGACACGAGCCAAACCAGGTTCAGACCTTAAATGCCAGCAACTGCAATGCTGGATAAGGTGCAATAAATTATAAGACTGTTAGATACTAGATATCTTTAAGAGTGTTCATGCAGCACTTGTACATTTAGAATGCATAGTGTTTTTCTCTGCCTCCAGAATCTCTCATCCACGATCTTGGACACCTCACGTGCAAGTCATACAGGCTTTTTTAATCTCCCATTTAGTCATCATTGAAACTAAGAAGAAATTGTGTTTACTTCATAGAAAATGGAATGAGATTGATTATAACATAAAATTTAGTGTGGGTGTTGGATGTTAAATTTCCATGTAAACCAACAAGATGTCCAACAGGCCCACAGAGATAGTTGGAATTTTTTTGCAGCTAGTGCCAAGAACTTATTTCCCCACTGATGTACTGTTAGTTAGACATCTGCAGTGAGAGAATTCTTCTTCCAGGACCAGACTATCTGTCCTTCAAAGTTTTTTTTTGAGTCCCTTGAGTACTGCAAGAAGCATTAATTTAGCTGAGGTGGTTTTTTGTTTTTAAATTTTAACTTCATCTCTTCATGTTCTTCTTTACATCTTTATACAGGATACATTAAACAGAAAAAAAACAAAGAAGATAATATGAATTAGTATTTGCAGTATTCAGATCTGTAAACAAGAGGGCAGGTTCTTCATTGTTCCATAGGTGCTTTTAAGTGGAATTCTCTATGAAAGGGCATGTGTGTCTGCTAAACAACCTCAGTGCCTGGCCTAGTAGACTCTGTGAGCTCCTATCTGGGACAGAAAAGGATGTAAGATGCCTTCAAAATAGTTCAAAGTAGAGCAATTAAAAATATATGTAGAAACAATTAGGAACAACAGGAAGCATGTGGTGTTTTGTGGCTATTTTTCCCCTCCCAATGCGTAAAATACAAGGAATGTATTGGTTGATAGCAATTGGTTTGACATAGTTGTTGAGAGAAGACACCACTCACTCTTCCTTCCTTATTTAGGAAAGGCATCATTTATTACCTACTTACAAGTACTTGGGCATAGGAAAAAAGTATTCTAAAATTGTAGTTGTAACTGATGCTATATGTTTGCAAATCTCTGTAAATGCTAAATTGAGTATTTTTCTTGTCACACTGACAAAGTATCTGATGTCAATAATAGCTAAACCACTTCCTTAACAGTTGGTACAGTTCAACCTACCTCTCAACAGAAGACCTACTTCTCCCTGAATGCTGAGCTTTCTTACATTAATGCAAATGGCTAAAATCCCTAAAACGCACAAGTTGATTATTGCATGTACTTTTCTTCATAGGGAGTCTTAGCTGAACTATTGCTTTATCAGTTTTTATTTATCAGCAAATGCTGCTAAATTTGGTGGGGTTATCAATAGTCACCACTCTGTGAATTAAGCCTCTGCTTACTACTGTTGTCCTATAGTGATCACTGAAGTACTGCAGTGCTCCAGCAAACCCTCTGAAGTTTGACTGCCTTCTGTAGTGCAGATATATATTTCATAATTCTGATAAAAGTGCTCCTCAGAAGTACAGAAATTGGCAAAAGTAAACCAGTGCTGTTTCTAGCACAATGGTTGATCCATCACAAAGTAGGCCTGTGCCACACTTTTTCTTTTCCTGTGAATAGATGTTCCATTTAGAACCAGTATGACCTGTAAGAATCTTTAGTTTTTTACTTTTTTACCTATTGGTTACTATTTAGGTTCAGAAGGCCTTTCTCAGCTTCCTTTATAAGCACAGTCCATGACGTCCAAGTTCACTCTGTTCCTGGGATTTGCATTTATTAACTCACAAAACGATAATGAAGACAAAGACCAGCTCAGTCCTTTTCCCAGGCTTGGATGCTGCTACACTTCTTCCCTCCACTGCTTAGCCCATACTCTGTCTTCTGTTTCCTTTAGGCAGCCTCCAGCACTTCATGTATGTCCTAGTGGCATAACAAGTTCGGGTCAACTAAGCTTACTTTAACCCCCTTCAGCCTATTGAAAAGAGCAACAGTCTATTATGGAGCTCCGTAAAGTACAATTTGTCATTAACGTAGCATATATTTGTATTTTGGTTGCTGTTGTAATGACAGCTGTTGCAGGGAAACCAGAAATTGCTTCACACTAGTTGTTGAGGTGTAATTTGTTGACTGTGGTGCAAAGGCAAGCCAAGAGGCTACATAAAAAGTCGGGTAGTGACTTGAATGCAGTGCAGCTATATTAACAGCAGGACTTAGACTGATTTGTTTAAAGCTGTCCTGGATGCATCTACACGAGCATACATGACTGCAGTTACTTAGATTAGTCTCTCCTGCCTGTAATAGTGTAAAGGTTAGATGACAAGACAGAGTTAGGTAGCTTTTCTCACTTTATAATGTGAAAAGAAGAAGATATCTCTGGGGAGTATTTAAGCCCATCTGATTTAGACATCTATTTTAGATTATACAAATAATCCCCTTCAAGCATACTTCTCCTGTAAAGGGATCTGAGATGACTAGCTTAGACTTCCTCGCTCAAGTTAGGTGAGATAAATCCTAAACACCTATTCAGTCATCTCTTTACGTCAGGTGTGACAGGAGAGCAAGGCAACTACATCCGTTATCAGAAGTGCATCTGCCCTGCAGCTCATACCATGTCATTGGGCATTAGAAGGCTGACTGAATTGTTTACTTCTGTTTGGATATTCCAGATAAAATTATAAACATGTTCTCTGTTACAATTTCTTTGATAAACAGAATTACATAAACTCGTCTGCCTACTTCTTGCCTTTAAAAGGGAGACCAGAGGAACTGAAATGGGCCAGTCCTGTCTCGTGCGCTTGGAACTGCACAGACCTGACCCTGGGCTGTGCCCACTCACTGTATGCTCATTGCTGGGGAGGAAGGGGGAGAAACTGGAGACTGCTCCCCATCTATTTGGGCAGGAAAGGTCATTCCCTGTCTCTCTACATGTGGAAAAAGTCTTCACAGCTTATGAAATCCAAGAACAATTACAGTTTGAGGATTATTTGCTACAGTTGTTATTGTGATTAATGTATTCTGTGTCTCTGGCAATCGCTCTGCCTGGTTGAGTGACACACATATTGCCACGTGTTGACATGTGATGTAGGAAAACAGTGTTTCCTCTAGTTTTTAATAATTATTCAATCATGTCATTGAAGATTTTCTGGAGGATTTTTTCCCTGTATGGTATACATGACATACTTGAAAGAGAATAAACAGGAGACAAACTGTTTAAACCAAATTCGGGTTTGAACTCCAGCACTCCGAGTGTGGTAGCATTAACAGGCCAGCAGTGTTAAGCCTTTACACCACCTGCGTCCCGTTTGTGTTACACTTCTTTTCCCATGCTTCCTTCTATTGGCCTTTTGCTCTGACAAGCCAATGACTCATTCCTCCAGTTTGCCAGTCTACCTGTCTGACTCTCATCCTTTAAAACTCTGAGTAACGTGCCTCTTAAAGGAAGAAGTACTGGGCCTCAAGAAGCAAGCTATCCATTTGACTTTGCATTTTATTCATGGTACAAAAGGCAGGGCCAGAAGACCAGCATCAGATGTTCTAACTTTGTGCATATGAAAAGTTGCAGGGTAGATTTTAGTCTTCTGTTGCTGTGATTTATTTTGCCAGGTGTGCAACAACTCAGCTAAGGAAACCATATGTTTCTCTGGCTTTGTACCAAAAAGTAAAAACCATTTTTTTTTTTTTTTCCCTCTTAAAAGAACCCAAAACAGCTAAAAATTAAAACTCTAAAACTAGAATCAAAATAATTATTCAACAAGCTGTATAGAGTTGACTTGGTATTTAGTTTCTCTATGTCATATTTCTTTGATGTAAATTAAAAAGTACATGCTAAGGTTACACAGATTAATTTGCTTGGCATGGCAACACGCACTACAAAGGCCAGAGTCCAGCTCAGCTGCATTAAATAGGCAATATATTTTGTTTAAAGTTTCAATTAAAACCTGGGGTCAAAAGATAAAATGGTCCCTGTGGGATCTTGAACACTTTAATGCCAATATTAGGATTGCTTAAGGATCAGCCTCTGCTCTAGATGTCTTTTGAGTTCCTTGAAATCTGATATTGTACAGTTGATTGCATTACATTGCTTTTAAAACCACACTGGCCCACCTGCTACAGTAATTCATACTCCTGCCAGTTAAGTGGTGTGAGGTGGACCATGGAGGCTCTACTTTAGTACTGAACAGTAACAAGAAAGATGTTGAGGTGGCATTGTTCAGATTTAAATTGGCAAAATACTGTCTTAAAGACAAATGTCTTGATCACACTTCATCAACCCTTGCCAGTTAACATCTGAATGTCTATTTTCAAATGTATTTAATGCAAAGCCTTGCAAACATTTTTTGATGAGAAATGCAAGTCACAAAAGAAGCTAACACTGCAGGAGTGAATACAGTTAATGATCCACAGATTAGAGTTTTGATTTCTCCTTGCTAATCTGCTACATTGCACATGGTTAGAAAACAAATCATGCAAGTGGCAGCCAGGTACAGAACAGGAGAGGGGAGCCAGATTTTACATCTGGTGCAGAGGTTTGCATCATAAGTACAAAGGCTTAGCATGCAGAGAGACTTTCTGTGTTGATGATTATAACATAACTATCACTTTATTTGATTATGCTTTTGGGTGGATGTGACTGTTTGTACAAACCTGTTAATATTGTTAAGACTCCTATCCCATTTGCCCCTTGCTCCCTTTAAATGCTTTTTTTTATTGAATTACTTTTAAATATTGTTTAGAACTCCAAGAAACACTTTTGCTGGTATAGTTTTACAGTTCATGCTGTGCAAGACTTACTTTTTATAAGCCAAAGATGATTAAGCTGTGAAATACATATCCCACATCATAACTTATGCAGAGC